ATGCAATTCGGAAAACATTGATTGATATAGGTTGGTTTTTAAATACATCTTAATTTTCAGATTATAAGTTTATATGTCAATTTAGATGATTCCATTTTCATTAAAAGGTTAGTGAAACAAACAATATACATAGTAGATAATGAACTAAACTTCATATACTGTCAACCTGTATAATAATTTAAAGAGAAAAACATTACTAAGTTACAAGAAGCCTTTTTCATATGACTTGCAATGTTATGTTCTTGTTTTAAGAACATTTGTCAACAAAAAACAACACAACAAATACATGCAACACAACTAAAAAATATACATTTTAGCAACAAAACACTAACAACATACAATATCACCATGTATCATAACCTTAACCTGCAAGGAAACATAGCAAACTCCAACCATGAGCATCCTTACAATACAACCAATAGCCATAATATCACATTGTTACACACCCACATACATACATGGCCAAACAAATTTCAAATCAAATTCAATTCGAAAAACAAATTCAGCTAAAATTAAATGTCCACAAAACCCTGAAGTTTTCCCTCTCTCTTTTTTAACAGAATATCACATGCTTCAACTTTCTATAAGTACAAAACCCTTACTGTTACGATGCTGAAGTTGAAACCAAAACCTAAAACCATAATCTAGTGAAGAGTAAAGAGAGATCAAAAGAGAGAGCAAGAGAACATACCATCTTTGCTGATGTCGGAGTTTGTGTTGCATGTTGTTCAATTTAGGTATCATTTAAGCTTCCTTTAAGATTTTTCTATTTAGGGTTTTCCTTAGAGAGAGAAACAGTTGTTATGAAATGGGCGGCACATACTTTCGTTTATATATAAATGAAATATCACTTTTTATCACCGTTGAATAACATAACCATGATGATATATTATTTTAAATAAAAATCAAATTAAATTTATCACAATAGTTGAATAACATAATTGTGTTGATATACTTTTTTTAAAAAAGAATTAATGTTAAAGGAATAAAATATTTTAGGATACTGAGGTTCGAACCCATGAAAGCTTGATTGTATCACCACAACATGTTATCTAACTGTTATTATATCCTAAAAATTTATAATAAATAAATAAATAAAAATGCTATGCACCTGAGTTTAGAGATGTCACCACGGTGTTTGAAAGAACTGTAGTGACTTTGGTGTTGTTGTATGCGTGTTTTGTAATAGTGATTGCTAGTGAAAAGGATGATTAGTCTGGTATTACATGTTTCTTCCCCACCACTGTTAAGTAGTTATTTTGTTGTTTTAGTTTAGTTACTTTCTGAACAAATTATGTTTGCTTTTATGTATTTTTTTTATATTTTCCAATACCATGAACATAGGACTTGGGTATGTTGACATTTTGTACCAAGAACATGAGCATTCCCGAGCTCCCAGACATTTGAGGACTAATTGAACATGATTTAAGACATTATTCCATAAATGAAATGTGTTTTGTGATTTAAAATTCAAACAAGTATAACATGTACATAAAAGTTATAGAAGCTGACTAAGCGAGCTCTAGTATGAGCTTGGCGCACCCTAGTGCTCATTGGTGACAAAGTGAGCTTCGTTGTTTGCTTAGAGAACCACGATGCTTATTATTGGCTAAGAGAAGCTCTTGTGGATACACTAGATACTCCACAAACACCATCCCTATTCGGATGATCTAAGGACATGCCAAAATTTTATACAGGGGGTGGAATGTAAGGAAGATCTAAGATGAGGCCTATACAATAGTTGTGATATTTAATTGTTTTCATGATTAAGCACTTGTTTAAAAAAAATTAATAAATTAAAAAATTTCTTTTTGTTTTAATAAAATAGTTTATCTGCAGATGATTCAAGTGACCTGAAATGCCAAAGGCTAGGTTGATGACAAATTTAGGAAAAATGACATGACGAAAAATGTTTCTTTTTAGATGCTTCACTCATAATTGATATTTGTTTATTTGTGAAGTATAGCATGAATATGAACTAATTGCTTAAAAAATTGATTTTACTATTGTATAGTGAAAACGTATCAATAATGGTCAAGAATAATACAAGCCTAACCAAGTGAGATACATGAAACCTCATGTATTAGTTAAATAATAAGGGCCGACATGTATACTAACTATGTGGATTTTGAATCATTCTTGCTATTACTTGATGTATTTGAAATCATGGATATGGCCAAGACATTGTTTGCTATTGAGTAAAAATCTACTTGACTAAAAAGACTACCTTGTGAAGATGTCATCCTTTGGAAAATGTTCACCACCTTATCTTAAGCATAGGGAGAATTAAAAAAATACAAGAATATAAAGAGCAATAAAGTTGGGGAGAAAAGGAAAAGATTTGAAAAATTAAGTAGTTAATGGTGAAAAGAAAGAAAATAAAATATTTTGACAGAACAAAAATAAAGAAAAAGAATCAAATGTAAAAGCATACAAATACAAGAAAGTCACAAAAAGTGTTGTAAAATAGAAAGAAAAGAAATTTTGGAAAAAAAATATATACCTAAAAGATTTTTGCTATCTTATCTTTAGGCTTTTTGAATCTAAAGAAATGTCAATATTTTTTGTATTCCAACTACGTTACAACCAAAAGAAATATCTTAGTGATCCATGACCGATGATTATCTCGTCATGCTTACATTAAATATAAAGTGTTTATATAATTTATGCATTGTCAAACAAAGAGGGAAATACTAAACCTTTTTTTAGAAATAAACCAGAGACAATATGATTATGATGATAAACTGACTATTGATTTAGACATGTTTTGAAACATTACTTTGATAAAGAAAATATTTCATTCTCATGCTATGGTTTGATGATAATTATAATTTTGATTATGAACTTACATTGTAAACAAAATCATGATACAAAATAAATCTTTTTCAAAATTTCTTGATCAAGTCATCTAACTTCTTTTGAAACATGCATTTGAACTTCTTCTGAACAATTTGATTAGATTTTGTTTGAGGATAAACAAAAATATAACTTATGGAGAGTTGATAAGGGCCAAAAATATATTAAATATGTATGCACTAATTAACTTTCTTTACATGTTATCAAATGAAAAACCCTTGATTTATCAATGAAAAGTGATAAAATGCATGTCTTGACATTTTAGTCGTGCATTGCTTAAAACAGTAAAAAAGAATCAAGAAATCACCAAAGTAGCACAAGAGGCCAAGCCGAAGTACTTTCCCAACAAAACAAGACTCGTTAAGCCAAGAATACATCATGTTTAAAAAAGCAAAGGGGCAACCTCTCTAAGCCAAAAAACACAAGTGCGCTTAGCGCTCAAAGGCGGTTCATAATTTCTTAGTTAAGTTACTTCAAGGTGAATGAAGGGTCCAGTGGTTAAGTAAGCATGGGAGATGTGCTTATAAAGAATAGGCGGATAAAATAGTGGTAGGTGAGCTAACATTATTTAACCTAGAATAAAGTAGGCATGCTAAGCGAGCCTAGCTGGTGCACTTAGTGAGCCTACCCTTTATAACCCTATAAATAGGGTTGTCAGGCAGTTTATTTGGAGAAATCGGTGGATTCAAGGTAGTTCGTAAGAGAAACTAGGTTCTCAACACAAATAAAAACAAAAGAGAATAAGAGAGGAAAATCGAGGGAGAAAGTGACATCCGAGGAATCGTCAATAGATTTGTTGTTCAACTTTTTTCTTCTAGGGCGTGATTGTAAAGCTATAATGAGTAAGCGTATCTAAGTTTCTCTTTTGTTGGGGTTGTAGTTGTCATAGTACTTATGTTTTCATCCTGACTATGATGTTCTATAAAATTCTTCATTCATAATACTTGTTTTGAATTAGCTACCTAAAACATGTTTTTATGGTATGACTTGATATTCGAAAGGTATTGATCATCACTAGATCCAAGTCTGTCATCTATTGGATGTTAAAGTCTATACATAAATTTATGTTTAATATCTGCATTTACTATTGAAACTTAATGTTGATGTATTAGTTAATAGGCTGAGAGATTATCTATTAGGTAATATGACTGAACTCACATTGTTGACTAAGACATGTGTTGCGATGAAAGTTTCGGATATTAATATTAATAATTGATTAGAATTGCATATTATTGGTGAAGAATGCTACATAAGAATGGGTCAATGGAATTTAACCATAACAAAATTTTCTCACTATTAAAACACCGAACATTTAATTTTATTTATGCTACTTTGGGTTTCAAATATTCACCAAACAATCAATTATATGATAAATTAAATTTAAAGTAATAGAAATTATTGTACGTTTGTGAAACACAATCAGTCCCTATAAAGTCGACAGTGGGATGGAACGCCCTAGAGACTCACTTGATCAAGACCTACTAAGATTGCTGTAGACCGTTAGACGACCAGGACATATCGGATCCCCTAACAACTATAGCAAACAAAAAGTTCTAGATTCTTGTGACCTCTGAGACCCCACTATAAAACCTCACAGAGACTTCATATTCCGGTACACATTCTCTAAACTTAAAAACACTGTCTGCCTCTGATAACTATTGACTTGAATATTAGAGTGTTTGCATATATCACCCTAGTGTCTAACAGAAGCATCAAGGCATTTGTCATACTATAAGTCTTCAAAAAATTTCGATCAACACTGTCATCAAGTTATCATATGAATGAGTGTCGGCCTGACTGTAAACCTAAGTTTCACATTGGGACACTCCGAAAGAAAAACCTTGGAAAACCTCTAAATACTTAAATGAACATGATTGCATATAAATATAGTTGAAACTATCATTAGCAAGTGGATGATTTCTTTTTATTCCATAAGTATAACTTCAAAAGTACACAACTTAAATGTTTATAAATAAAGTACACCACATAAATGAAAGATAATTAAAACCAGCATATGACTGAAAGGCTTATTATCCTTTACTCATAATAAGTACTGCCTAATAAAACATCAACACGTACAACAATAACAACCAAATTAAGACAAACCAGAAAAACTTGTAGAGTTAATAAAATCCAAATCCATCTCATTTGGCAACAACAAAGGAAATCATAAAAGGAAGGAAAATGAGGATGGCAGCAGAATAAGTGAGGACTGGTGGAGAAGCAGAAGATTGCGGTGTTGGTGCAGGACCAGGACCCATCCACATTCCAGACATATCGTTGGATGCTTTATCAACAGTGTCTACTCCATTGTTTTGAGCAGCAACAACCATAACCAAAACCAAAACACAAGCTATGAGCATGCTGAATTTCATTGGTGAAGCCATAGATATATTTATATTAAGTTACCTTTTGCTTATTGCACTAGTAGTTATATTTGTTTTTGTTGTTTTGAACCAAAGTGTGTTGTGTTATATATATAACTTTGGTGTACGTGAAGGTCTAGGACTTGGCTGTAAATTATGTTTCTTGTTTAACTTATGATTAAATAATTGAGTCGAACAAATATATGTATATGCATAGTTTTCATCGTGAAAGTTGTGTTTATTTGGGATTATTATCATAGTCTTCTTGTTGAGAAAGAAATATTGTACAGCTGTTAATTTGTTGTGTTTTTTGGTCGGACACCATTCTTTTTGATTTGTTGATTCATATGTTTTGTACCGTAATCATAAGCAAATGTGATGTCACTCTGATTTTATTGAAACAAGTGTATATCAAAAAGAAATGTAGGGGTCCACAAATTTCGGCCGACCTATTGAAACCGATCAATCTATTGTTTTTTATTTATTTATAAATGGACCGGGTTGGATTAAATGTCGGGTTGATTCATTTGATTAATTTGAATGCTATAGGATTGTTTCGATCGGAATCGGATAATTATTTTGAAACAGTCGAAAATTGAAACGGACTAAAAATAATTAATATATATTTATTTTATTTTTATTATTATAGGATTGATCCATTATAAAAATGGAATTCATAATATTATTAGGTTGTTATCATTTTTAAAATTTAATGGTGGTATTGTGTACTTGTTAAAACATAGTTGCAGCACTGACGTGCATGGCAAGTTAACCGTGCAATCTTGCATGGTTCCATCAATATAGCATAGCTCCTCTTGTATTTTGATATTGTTTAGGCTCATAATAGAAGATTACACGTAAGCACAAGTTTGTTGAAATTCTATTAGAGGTTGGTAGAAGTTCAACCTCTATATAAGTTCACATTGTAGCTAACTTTATCGTGATAAATGAGTTTAATATCTCATTTCACTTTTTCTAACAGTTTTTCATTCATCTTCATCATGATTCATACAAACTTCATGATGGTATCAGAGCAATTTTGAGCTTTGTTGCATATCGCTATTGACAAACTGGTTCGTGGTGGTGCTAATGTTGTTGGCACTCTGATAGTGGCTGCTTCGTTTCAAGATCTATTGTAGTAACCTGGAAATGTGTACTACATTCATCCTTCAAATGGACGTTCTTCTGTTCTAACACATTCAAACTATCATGCACGGGCAAGGTCCATGCGATGTGCACTTGTTGGAAAGAAAATTTTTGATTTCGTTGATGGATCAATTCTAGTTCTTGAAGAATTTGATATGAGTTTCAAAGTTTGGAATCATTGTAACATGTTAGTACATATGTGGATCATGAATTCAATTGATATGGTTGAATTTGTGATTAAATTCCAAGCAAGTTTGATGTTTACACTTTTCAAAATGGTTGAGAAATGAGTATGCTCGAAAATTTAAAAAAAAATGAAGTTATGTTGTGGTTACAGTAAGCGCGAGAGGAAGAAGAAAGAGGTGTGCTGGAAATTTCAAATTTTCAAAAGCTTGTTTATAATATATTTACTAGGGAGCCTTTCATATCCGGATTAAACAGTCACCCCAGTGGTAAAACAAATGTGCGATAATGTGAGAGACCTGGGTTCGAGTCACAGCGGTACCCTTTTATTTTTCACATATTTGTTTCTTTCAGATCCAATACAAACAAGTCCAAGGCGCGCATAGTGTACCTCATATCACAACCATCATATCCTCATCGGGACTTCATCATCATCATCATCATCCAACACTTAGAAGCTCACCCCATGGTGTACCCTCACTGAAGCCACGTACAGGATCACCAGGATGGCCTTCTTAGACCTGGGCGTCAGCTACTATCAGCACCCCCTGTTTACTTCCAATCCAGGCCCATTCTAATCTTTTTTTTTTTAATTTTATTTTCTACTTCAAACAAAAAATCATTTCTTGGTGGGCCTAGTATCTTTTGCTTTTCTCATACCCCCCCCCCCCCCCCAACTTCTTTACAACGCAGGCCCATTTACGTTTTTTTCCTTTTCTTTTGTTTTAATTAATTATTTTCCTCTTAACTAATTTTATTTTAAATCATAAAAATCATTAAAAAAATTAGATTTAGGTTTTATTTAATTAATTTGATTTTCATAAATAAAAATTATTTTATTTTAATCACTTTATTTTATTTTGTTAATTAATTTATAAAATAATTAGAATTAGGTTTTATTATTATTTTACACTATAAAATATTTTTTTAAATATAAAACATCAAAAACATTTTCTAAACACTTAGGTTTTTATTTCTTTTTTTTATTAAATTAATTAAAATTAACATAGATTTTTTAGGGTTTTGTTTAAATTTAATTAACTAATTAACTTTTAAAAAAAAAAACTAATTAGTCTTTTTAGGATAATCATCAAACTTTTTCTATAAAAAAATCACAAAAAACAATCCCCTCTCTCTTTTCTTTATTTTACATTTTTTGTGTATTTTATTATTATTTTGCACTTTTCCAATTATGTAATTGCTCAATGGTCTGTAATAGCTTTAATTAGGATTTACTGCTTTTCATCCTCATTCATAAATTTGTACCCTCATTCCCAAAGTGTTGTAATAGCGTAGGACATTTAATTTCCGCAATTTACTGTTTTCCTTATCACTGTTAGTTTAATAGGATTGTATGGCAAGATTTAAAATCAACTGCTAGATAACCCTAATCAAGACAAAAATAAACTGGAAATAAAACACTATTCACACATGCACCTATAGGATAACCTCACTTGTTTCCTCGGGTAAAAACAATCATGTCCCTCGAACGTGGATTGTTTTAGCAAATACCCTCGGTTAAAAGATCATAGTCCCTCGATGACCCTTCGGTGTTGCCTTCGGTTAATGATCTTAGTCCCTTACGAAAATTGCTAAAATATTCTACAAGTTACTTTCATGACTGTATGATGACCCGCACCTATCCCTCACATCCAATGATAGGGCTTCCGACTAACTAATTGTAGGACAACACTATCTAAAGGAGGAGGAAAAGAACAGAGACTTTTTGAGTAGATAGATCACTCGTAATCGCTTGCTCACAAACTAAAACAATTTTTACACCTCACACTTTCAAAACAACTACTTTCAGAGCACTTTATAAATACTCTTGAGGACTGATACAAGGATTATTATAAAGCAAATTGCCTTACATTGGCATTTTCAAAACATCTTTTTCACAAAACAACACCTTCTTTCACAAATATTTTCAAAATAAACATTTTTTTATACATTCTCAACGATACGAGAATCATTACAAAATTGCCGCACTTAGGCATTTTCAAGATATTTTCAAACATACGCAAAGCACTAAGCATTTCGAAAAAGTGAGCTAGCAATTAAGAGTCCATAGATAACTACGGATGAAAAGGGTGCTAACACCTTCCCTTTTCATAACCTACCTCCCGAACTTAAGAAAATTCTCAAAAGGTCTTTCCTATTCTTTTCACCCTTTCCTTTATTGAATCAAAGAAATGTCGGTGGAGATTCTTACTATCCGCAACATTTTCGATAAAACTAAAACCAGAAGTCAGTTCTCCCATCTTATTATAAAACTGGCGAATCTGATGGGGATATTACTAAAAATGGGGTTACCTTAAGAGCTAAATCACCTTTATTAATTTACTTGTTTGCCTTGTATGCTTTATACTTCGGGATATGCTTGGGTTTATTTCTTGTATAGATCTTATACCCGGATCTGGGGGAATTTTAGGTAAGTAGCAATAGATCGTGAAAACTGTACGGTATAGACCGATATGGTTGAAACAATGGCTATGTTAGTGAGACACATTGGTTTGTGTTGGTGTCCCTTGAGTCAGTCAAGGAGAATGTTGGGCTACCGTATGGTGTCATAAGCACTAACTGACCTTAGAACCTTAGTTGACACAACTTAGCCATTAGAAAGTAGTGAGATAACTGGATTTGGTGCATATTGAAGTTAGTTGATACTCGATGCTACACTCATTAAGACTAGACTTTTGGCATATTTCGGTCACAAATTAGATGCTTGTGCTGAAACAATGCCTGAGAGAAAAATCAGTGATATGAGATTCCTAGAACTCGGTTACTTATTTTAGGATAAGTTGAGCCAACTAAACTCAAGAGGGTACTTACCTATAAAACTCCTTGCAAGCTTAAACCTAAGGCTTTGTGTGTTTTGTTTATGTTTGATTAAATTGTTTGAACATGACATCATAACATCATGACATCATTAGACATGTCATTTTCACTAACCATTTCAAGGACCTATGGATTTATCTTCATTTCTTTGTTGTAGGTTATGGCTTCTGATCACAGAAATACTATTCGGATCAGTTTTGTGAGGTTACCTCTTCAACTTAAGGAGTTAGTCTAAAAAGTTCCTGAAAGCTCTCAATTCACCAAAAGGCATGGTCATCTACTCATTTTAGTTATCTCAGGTTTTGAAGAAGACGTGATGAGTATTTTGTTCTAGTTCTTTAATCCCGCACATCACTGTTTCACCTTTCTGGATTATCAGCTGGTACCTACAATGGAAGAGTTCTCTAAGCTACTGGGAACACATGTTCTAGATCAAACACCTTTCACTAGTTTAGAGAAAGATCCACAACCTGAAGAAATTGCAACAGCCCTACATCTGAAGCGGTCCAACACTGTAGCTAATTGGGAAACAAGAAGTGGAGTCAAGGGTTTTCTTGTTAAATTTTTGTTAGAGAAGGCTCGACTGTTTCTGGATGCTATGAGTTTTCAAGCTTTCGAGGGAATCTTGGCTTTGTTGATCTATGTCTTGGTGTTATTCCCTAATCCAGAACAACTCATAGATGTGAATGTTTTCAAAATTTTCCTCACTCGTAACACTGTGCCTACTTTACTTAGAGAAATTTTGTATTATCTTCACACTCGTACTATGAGGAAATGAGGGACTCTTATGTATCGCATACCTTTGCTATCCAGGTGGTTTATTTCTCACC